CTCTCTCTCTCTCTCTCTCTCTCTCTCTCTCTCTCTCTCTCTCTCTCTCTCTCTTTTTCTATGCCATTTTTGAATTCTTTTTTTCAAAACAGTATAGTAGAAATGCCTCTTCAGCTACAATGGCTGAAATTAGCATTCCTTCATCTCCCAAATTTCTTATCTCCAACATCAAAGCTATAACCAACATACAACTGACTGCTAAAAACTATCCTTCATGGAAGCTTAGATTTTTAAATTATTGAAGGAAAATGGTTTTGATGGGTTTTAAGAAGGACATGTTATGTGTCTTGCCACTCAAATTCAAGATGTTAATGCAAATATTTCTAGAAATCCAGAATTCCTCACATTTATTGATAAAAATCTCTCAGTTCTAATTTAATCTACCATATCACCTTCTATTCTGCCATATATTCTAAACCTTGAATCCACCATAGAAATTTGGCATACCCTAGCAAGAAGGAGATAATCCACTAATTGGTCTAGGGTAATTCAGCTTATAAATGAGCTTCATAACATTTCTATGTGATATGTGTACATGTCTCAATTCCTACTAGAAATCAAATCACTAATAGATAACATAGTTGTAGCTGGAGGCCTAGTCGATAATGAAGATGTTATTCTACTAATCCTTAATGGATCACCACCTTACCATTCTTTAAAGTCTACGATTCACACAAGATATAAATCGACCAATCTTGATGATCTATAGCCAATAATGTTCAATGAGGAGATTAATCTTGGAAATAGCTATGAGAATCATGTTGTAGTAACAGAGGTGGTGAATTGAATTGATGTAGATGGCTAATTGATGAAGGATGGTCAATTGATATGATTGATTCGATGATGGCCGGTCAATAAAATGGACCAGGGAAGGCTGATCGAGCTATTGTGGGTGGCTGATTAATGAAGAAGGATTGATTGAGCTGATCAGGCCAGTAAGGGCCGATCAATCTAGCTGACAGAAAAGGTCAATCAAGTTGATCGGGCCTGTCGTGGCCAATCGGTCAAATCGTAGGAGGTGGTCGATCAAGCCGGCATAGGAGGTTGTTTGACGAGGGATGGTCAATTAATACGATCAGGTCGGTGATGATCGATAGATCAAATAAACTGGGAAAGGTCAGTCGAGCCAGTGTGGGTGGCTGATCGATGAAGAAGGGTCAATCGAGCTTATCAGACCGATGTCAACCTATTGTTGAGCCAACCAAAAAAAGTCGATCAAGCTGATTTGACCGATGGAAACCGATTAGAAGAAGTGATGAAATTGGTCAACTGATCTGATCAGGTCGATGGCAACCAATTGATAAAGTCGATAAAGATGGTCGAGCAAACCAATCAGATTGGTGGAAAACATTTGTCGAACCAAAAAAAAGGGTCGATTGAGTCTATCAGGCTAGCAGCAGCTGATCAATCGAGTCAAAGAATATGGTCGGGTGAACCGATTGGATCGATGGCGACCAATCAATTGAACCAATAAAAAGGGTCGATCAAGTCAATCGGGCATGTGGCGGTCGGTCGAGGCTATGACGGTCGATCAATTGCGTCAACGAAGATGATCGAGCGAAGCAAACAAAAATGATCTATAGAGCTAATTGGGTCAGTAACAACCAATCAATCTAAGTGAAAAAAGAAGCTCAATCAAGCCGATTGGGTCGATGAAAGCCAATCAATCGAAGTGACAAAGAAGGTTGATTGATCCAATTAAGCCTGTGACAAGCGATCCGTTAATGCGACAAAAAAGATCGATCGAGGTGATTGAGCTTGTGGCAGCTGATAGATAGAAGGGGAAAAAAAGATAATTGATCAAGCCAGTAGCAAGGATGGTCAATCGACAAAACATGCAAAAATGAGACATTTTTTTTGCAATTTGAAAATCATGTCAAGCATACCATCTAAATGTGAATACATGCATGATTGAGGCCTAATCAATTTCAAAGATAAAATTGGTTTCATCTTAGCCATTTGACTAGGAAATTAGGTCGAGGTGATGAAGTCGTAGGTACCATCTATTACTCAACATAATGGAGGACCTACCTCTAACCGTTTGGTGCAGTGAAAAAACTTTTTCTTAAGAGAAAATCTTCATGAAGTGAAGGATTTTTTGTATGGACATAGCCTTCTTCGTCTAGAGAATTAGGATCGAAGAAATTTCTCATTCCCTTGCTCAGGGTGGCTTCATCCCATTCACCAACTGATGAAGCCACCGAACGGCCATGTGGTTGCTAGTGTTCCGGGCGATTAGGTTAAGGTTCTCAAGATGGAGGTTTTGCTCATGGATTCGTAAGGGAATCACAAAAAAGTCCTAACAAAAGGAAGATTTTCTCTACACATAAATTATATCATATTTCCTTTAACATCCAGACCTAGGGAGATCTAGAAATGAAAAATAAGAGTTTTTTTTATAGATTCTTACCCCCATGGCGGTTGATAGAAACATTATCTTTAGTTGTCCACACTCCGACTTTGTTAGGAAGAAGCTCTCCTTCTGCCTTAGAACAGATGACACTCTCCTAAATCCTTAGAAGAAATGAAGCTCTTCTATCCTCTACAATGCAACTCCTCCAAGAAAAGCCCCTCATGCACTCAAAGAAAGTGGTAGAGGAAGATGAAGAAGAAGAAGGAGAAGAGATATTTTAGTGGAAAAAGCAGAAGAATATAAAGTAATGGTTGTAGCGAGCATGACCTTTTCTTCATCTTTATCCAGAAGAAGAAGCCTCAGGGAAACCAAGAAAGCAAAAAAATCTCCAAGGAAGAAGATGAGCTAGCCCAAACTTTTCTTCTTCCCTTTTCCAAAATGGTGGCCCAACCTTTCTAAAACCTTTCCCAAAAGGTTAAGACAAAGTTCCATTCACACATTTTTGCCTCCTCAAGGCATATTTTCTCATTGAACAAGAAATTCTGGAATTTTGGCATAAAAAATAGTAAAAATCATGGGAAAAATTGGAGTGTGAAAATGGGCTAGCACCTAGGTGTTGGGCCTGGCGCCTACTTTCTAGTATTTTGAGTGCCTAATTTTCATGGAACTGGCGCCTAAGTGCCAAGGGCTGCTGCCCACTTTCTGACTCCTTTGGTTGGAGACTCTGAAGGCCATTTTGGGTGCATAGGTGCCCTGGACTGGTGCCTATGTGTTGGGTCTGGCGCCTAGGCACCAGAGGGCTTGGGTCTAAGCGCTGCTCTAGGCTTAAACACCTTGAATTTCATGGAAAACGTCTAGCGGATGGTTTCCTTGATCTGAGAGGTATGGGAGATTAAATATGACTAAAATATTATCTCACAACACCAAAAATAGAATTTTTTATGTTTATTTTCTCAAAGGAATTTGGTGCCAACATGCACTCTAAACTACCATGCTGGTACATCATCAAAAACCATAATTCTCTTGAAATGCACCCATGGGAGGTTTTTCATGAATTTCCTTGCCCCCGAAAGGATCTGAATAGATGGGTTACTGTCTTTAAACACCATAATGGACATTACATATGTCTCATATTATAAGTGACGCTTTCCAACGACAGGCAAGGCTGAATTATCGCATATCCTGATTTTGTGCCCCGAACATGTACCAAGAGGTCTAGATGGAAGTCTTGAGCTATGGGACTCTATGAATGAATAGTAAATAGTCTCAAGTCATTTAAGTATAGATCCTATATGTGCGGCATTAAAAATTGATGCTAACACTTTGGTTCAATATATACTTAATCTCCGTTCTATAATAATCTTACAGAGGTTATATAGAGGGTTTAATTGGATCATTAATTTGGAAAATTAATTCTTGATCTAGTGATCTAATAGTCAATTTTCCTTCCTATAAATCAGTATTCTTGCTACTTTTTACAAGCAATGGCCTTCCTAAATTATGTCAGTAGACAACAGAAGTTAGAGTCGGAAGTTGCATGAGCTGAGATGACGTTCATAGGTTGCAGAGGCCAAAGTTGGGCACTGCATGAGCTGAGATAACGATCATAGACCATAGAGGCGGGATTTGGGAGTTGCACTAACTGAGATAATGTTCGTAAGCCAAAAGGCCAGAGATGGAAGCTGAATAAGCTTTGATACCATTCATATACTGTTGGAACTGGAGTTGGGAACTACACGAGCTATGATAATGTATGTAGATGGTAGGGGTCAAAGTTGGGGGCTACAAAAGCTGAGAAAACATCTATAGTTCATAAGGGTTGGGGCTGGTAATAAAATAAGCTCAGATAATGTTTGTAGGCTGTAGAGACCAAAGTTGGGAGGGAGAAAACTTATGTAGGAAATATGGATCAAATTTGGGAGTTGCATGAGCTATGATAACTTCTATAGGTTGTAGAGGTCAGACTTCAAAGATGCACGTGTTGTGATAACATCTATAGGTCGGATTTGGGAGCTGTAAGGTGGGAGTTGAGAGTTGCAAGTAGAGAACTTCATGAGTATGGAGATAGGCATCATAATATGAATATGGTGGTTGTGAGCAGTCATTGAGAGGTGCGTTATTACATTATATTTATGATGCATCATTGCACCATATGCGGGGCATATCATTTCACCATATTTGGGGTGCATGTTGCATCAACTTCAGAGCATCGTGACACTTCTCTGTAGGGCGCTTTGCTACTTCGCAACGTACGTCAGCATTTTGCAACGCATGTCATGATTTTGCAAGGGGTCTTATTGCAACGAGCAGAAGACGCCCTATGGTTATCGATAATGGTTGACGAGCAATAGTCGACAACAATCAGCGATTATAGGAGCATGTGGAGTTCGTTGGACTTTTAGTGTGAAACATTGGAACTCAGCTCCTCCTCCAAGTCTCAGGCTTCCCCGGGTTCAAATTCTTGGCCCTCTTTCATGAAGAGGGTAGGGCTCCATTTATAAAGTCCGAGAGAGACCTCCAGGCAAATAAGAAAGACTCAAGATTACTCCATTAAACGACTCAGAGAAATCCCCTCGATCGGACGGCGTTTTGTGGACATTTTAGTGCCTCAACGATGTCAAATTGAGTGATATTCGGCTCGTTGGAGTCATCTCGTTAAGATGCTTGATTCGACTTTAAGTTCGATAAATTTAGAATCAATTTAACCGTATCTTAAAATCAGAATGATGCTATTTACTAGACATCAAATAATGAAGCCATGAGAGCAACTTTTAAATATATTATTAATGACTCTATAAAAGCGAGGTGGAATAAAACTTTTCTCAAGTGGAAGCTTTCAAAAAATAAATTAGCATTACAAGACAAATGTAGTTTTAGGGTCTAGCAGCATGTTTATGAAGAAAATAAAATAAAATAAAGGCCAAAAAGATGCTATGACTATTTTTTATTAGTTTATGCACAACAAAATCTACGAATTAGACACCTTGCATTTCCCTAGTAAAATCTTTGGATAAATAATATATATATATATATATATATAACTTAATTTTCTTTGGATTTTCCTATATTTTTCTTCATGTGGCCTTGAATAAAAATGAGCTCTCGTCTTATTTTTATCTCATAAATTTCACGAATGACAGCATAACAAATTCATCTCATAGTCGGATTTATTAAATCCGGATTTACGTTGTATAAGCGATGAAACGATCGAAAAAATATGACAAAATGCGAAAAAATTGGATTTAATGAAGCCTTGGAGGTATTTTTTTTATTTTTTATTTTTATTTTTGGGTGGATTTAAGTTAAATTCATGAATACATTCAATAAATAAAATGCTGTCAAACAACACATAAATGATAACTTGGGTGATGAGGTCATGGAAAGCTTCAAGGCATTTGAATTAATGATCAATTAGGATAAATTAATTTTAAGCTACACGACAAGAAATATATATAAAAAAATGTTTATTCCAATGATTTTTTTTTTTCAAACACATTAAATAATCTTAATGGCCATAGTAATCATCGATCACAGGTGTAAATTTTACACTTCACTAAGAAATTAAATTCTCACTATAAAATCAAAGCCAATTCAGCTCATTTCACAAGCTTGTGAAGCCATGGAGTTACAAGCTTTCAATAGAGCATGCAGAAGATTCAAGCCACACATTCTGATGACTCTGGCACAGATTGGCTATACTATTCTCTACTTCATCACCGAAGCTTCTTTCAATCGTGGAATGAATCCACATGTTTACGTGACTTACAGACATATCGTGTCTGGCTTCGCCATGTTGCCGTTTGCATATTTTCTTGAAAGGTGGAGTTTTGGATTTTTTATAGTTTCATTATAATTGTTTGAATTCAAGTCTTTAATTACTCTTCTTTAATGAATTGTTGAAGTCACTCATAAATAGAGTTTGTTTTATGTTTTTGCAGAAAGCTAAGGCCAAAGATGACATTGGCTTTGTTCATGGAGATTTTTGTGCTTTCTCTTCTTGGGTAAGCTTGAATAATATTACATAAGCTTGCAAAATTAGATTTATAAGGGAGTAAATGAGTGAAATGATCCTTAGACTTTTTAGAAGTATTCATTGTTGTCTAAGACATTTCTCGGTGTCAATGTTTTAGTTTTGCAACTCATCAAGTCAGAGGGAATTTAATCATGCCATCAACTTTGCTATTTTTTGTATAGAAATTGATGCAAGATATGTTTTTATTATTAAAATATTTCAATTCAGTATTAAAAATAAGTTTGGGCCTTTTATTTATTTACCAACTCATGCTAACACATTTTCTCGTTTCAAAACAGGATAAGCCTAACTCTGAACTTGTATTTTGCAAGTTTAAGATGCACATCACCTGTTCTTCTTGCTTCAATGGTGAACTCAATACCTTCTTTAACCTTTGTTTTGGCTATTATGTTAAGGTATGAAACTTTCTTTTTGGTCAATGCAACCCTTGACTTCTTATTGATTGCAACACTATTTTTATTCTGATGAATGTAGATTAGGGCATTTCAATGTCAAGAGTTTTCAAGGATCTGCTAAGGTGATTGGGACCTTGGTCTGCTTGGCTGGAGTTACAACAATGACATTATACAAAGGCACAACAATAAGAAAATCATGGGGTGTATTAATTCAAATGCCACAAAATAAAATCAGTGAAAATTGGTTAAAAGGTTCTGTTCTTACAGTGATTAGTTGTATAACATGGTCAATATGGTATATTATGCAGGTACGAAACTCCCACATGTGATAGCTTTTAAATGAAAATTTATATTTTCAATAAATGTATTATTGTTTTTAAATAAATATCATTCATTTTACATGATATTTTAGAAGCATTTATACTCTATTTTTTAAACTAATTTATGTTATACTTTGTTTTTTTTTTTTCAAATATATTCATCTTTATTAATAGCTTTTCATTATTGTACTTCCATTTTTCTGGACCTTCGATCCCTTCAGAATTCATGTTCGCTCATTCTTTATGTACATATTTTTTGTACCCCAATTCTCTTCTTGAATACGATTCTTCAATAAGAATAAGAGAATTAAACACAAAAGTAAATATCATTTATTTCATAATTATACCTTCAAAAATTGAAATCCTTAGATTTCTACGTCCATAATTTTTATAAATAAGGTGTAGCGGACTCTACGTCATTCCATATTTTCTTTGCATCTCTTCTCGTCTGAATCGATTGACTTTTAAATGCCTCTATGGAGAACCTCTCGAATCCCCTTAATAAGCTCCCGAGTAGAGATATGATGTATGTTGCCATCGGGAAGCGGGTGGCATGAAACCATCCGCAGGGAGAATAAATTGGAGGATGATAGGAATAAGAAGAAAGTTGTTACTACAAAACAAAAAATTAATGAACCGACAGACAAAGTGGGTTCATTTGACTCTCTTCAAGGTCCTCAATGGAGGAAAAACCGAGTGATTGATGGTGGTAAACAAAGCAGCCAGACTACTTGTCTGTTGGCTTAACCTTTTGTAGTGGCTTGAGTCTTGTCAAGTGAATAGACTGCGTAGGAAGCTACAAGAAAGCCAATGATCATCCACATAAAGGATACTTTCATTTGAATTTTTTATATTATAGATAGATCATATGTGATTACACCACAATCACATAAAATTTTAGATCTTTTATCAATGGTTGTAAAAATATATCACTTTTTTAAGGGTATAATAAGTGTGAGAAAATAAACAATATAGGCATGCACATCTCATGGTAGGTTGAAGGATGCAACTAGCACAATCTAACTTGAATAAGATGAGGCAGTATAATTGTATGGCATGAAATTATTAGCACATAAATCAAGTTTGATGTTACATGGGCCAGGGATAAAATTAGGATAAATACGATTGAAATGCTTCCATATTGGCCTATAAAATGGATGACTACAAAATTTCATTCACTCACTCTTTCATGGTGTCAACTCATATGTTTAGTAGCATGCATAAATATGTGTAATCTTTGAAGACATAAAATAAGTGTCAAGTATAAAAAATGTTTGTAGGAAATTTCAATCTTTTTTAGTTATTGTCTACTTTGTGGCCTGAATCTCAATGCCTCATAAAATTTGCATGCAATCTTCATTGCATCATCCTTATATTATAACATACAATCACTAGTACAATAATCTATTTCTTATGAGTTCAAATCAAATTAGGCTACCGATTTCTTTTTTTTTTTTATAAATTCTCTAGAACCAATTATTTCTTTTGATTAATCTTTTTTTGATAGCTCTATAAATTGATTGAAGCAATATCGTAGTTTACTGTATTTGATTTTGATGCTCAATATTTTATCCACCAAATAAACTTTTTTTAATGGTAAACACAACCTTACCATAATGGCCAATTGCATTGCATTCAATAATTGGTAGAACTTCTGAACTTCAATATATAATGGCTCCGTCTCTATTAATATAATAAGTTGATCACTTGTTATACCAAACACCACTTTTTCATATCTTTGGAGCCATGTTCCTTAGAACAAGCAAAGCTCATTAAAACACCAAACTAAGTATTGATATGTGGATCCTACATATCATGTCAAGTCTAAAATCAATAATTTTGATTTGAGCCCCCCATGATACAGATCTAACTTAATTTTTTTCCGGTATTGAGTATACTTGAATCATGCGTATCACACATGGACATCAAACTTTTTTTTTCTTTGAAAGATAAATAGAAAGCAGAGTTGTTATGCATATGAAACACTTAAAACTATTCGTGAACTCATCGGTTAATCCTTTTCTGCTAAAATATAACCTATTATATTCATGATCTTTTGCTATGAATATCCAAATGGTATTAAATATGTGAGAATGAATGTCTAGAAAAAATCACAACTAATAGGATATATATCGAGCAGTTATATTTCTAGAATGTAAAAGGCATCTATATGGAGTCATGTTAGCTTTAGATGAACAGTAAGCACTTATATACCAAATTTTGTTACCTTAATAAACTTTATGACTAATATTATTTTTTGTATGAGACTTAAATGTCATGGGAATGTTTAAATATAACTTTATTCATTCCTTCAAAGATTATAAGCTATAAATATAGTTACGAAAAAACTTTTGATTAAGCTTCAACAAATAAGCTAACTATTTGTAGATTTTTTATTCATGTATCACTTTATCTGAATAAGTGGTTTTAATAAGTCAGCCTAATAAATTTGATATTGCTTAGTTTGGCTCTTTAGATGCCATACCACTCAACATATCCTGGGTTGTTTAAAATGATTCTAAGTCACTTAATGAATTTATTATATAATTCTCTCTTATATAGCTTTTATGAACTCTTAAAACATTAAGTGTGCTAGTAACCTCAATATAAGGCTTTTACTATTAAATAACCCTAAGTGAACCATTGATTACCCATAGGCCTATATAGTGATAGTAAATTACCTCATAAATGTTAAAAATCTATGCCTAAGTAAATCCAAACTTAAATAAATTGAAGCCAAATCAATTTCAAAATTAAAAAAACAAAATTTGTATTCTCAAATATAACCTAAAAGTTAGTAGAAGTAACCCCTAAATGCAAATATAGGATTTGTTATATGAAATACAAAAGAAAAGCTAATTTAAGCTACAAATTGAATAATTTTTCCTACATTTCAAATTGATAAAATATAAAAATTAATGGATTTAAAATAAATAAAATCTTCTAAAAGTAAGCGAGGAGTCCTTAGATTCTACAAAAAAAAAATTGCAAATTTAGTTGCAATAGGGCAGAGATGGTGGAAAGAAAGACGCAAAAGAAGGTGATAAATGAGGGTTTTAGCTATCGGGTTTGTTATAAAACATATTAATGATGACATTCTTATCAGATTACTAATAATAAAATTTTCTAACTAATTTTTCACTTGAAATTCCACGAAAGACAAGTGATAAATGAACTAAATTTTTCTTTGTAGGAATTTCTATAAAAAAATTTTAACAGAAAATTAAGTCACAAAAATAAACGATAATTAATGGTTCATTTAGTGCTCCATTAATTCAATCAATTCTTCTTGCTTTTTTGTAGTGACATGTTTTGAAATAAATCAGAAGTCATAAGCTTTACATTAGAAAGGTTTAACCTCATGTTGTGGACATGCAAATGTTCATGTTTTGTATTATTTTTTAGCCATTCCTTTTAAAATGTGATATTTTAAACTTTAAAATATGCATTTTTGGAAGATTTATAACAATATATGCTTATGAAAAGTCAATTCTTTTAAATGTTATCATGTAGTATTAACTAAAACATTTAGGCTTATAATTCATTACCATAACAGGCCATAACCCTACAAAAATATCCAGCACAACTTTCACTTACTACATGGATGAGTTTCATTGGAGCAGCTCAATCAGCAGTTTTCACCTTATTTGTAGAGCACAAAGCGTCAGCTTGGATTATTAAATTTGACATTGACCTGTGGAGCACACTATATGGTGTAAGTGAAACATCAAATAGAAACATTGTTTTAAAAAAATATGCTCTAATAAAAATTTTATTGTAGGGAATCATTTGTTCTGGTATAATAATCTACATTCAGTTGTGGTGCACAAAAGAAAAAGGGCCTGTGTTTGTCACTATGTTCAATCCAGTCTCAACCATATTAGTGACTCTTTTGGCATATTTTGTTTTTGGGGAGAAGCTATTTATAGGGAGGTAAGATTTACGTATTTTAGTTGATGAACATGAAAAAAAATTCAAGTATTAGTCATTCTTTCTTCTTTTTTTTTTTTTTGCTAATTATTTTTTTTATTATTAAAGCATAATTGGAGGAGTTATTGTCATTATTGGCCTTTACTTGGTGTTGTGGGAAAAAGAGAGTGATGAAGATGGAATGAAGCCACAAACACAAAACAAGAATGATCAGAAGAAGGAAACTTCTACCGAGGAACCATAAATGTTAGTTTTTTGGATTAAAACTAATATATGGTTAACTAAATTTTGAATTTGTAAGAAGTGTAACAACGTTTTAGTTTCCAAAATAGTAAGAATTTTTAAACTATGTGACTAATTGAGGACAATAGCTTAATATTTTGTGTTTATACAAAAGAACATGAAAAAGGCAAAATAAATTGCTCTCAACTTAGTCTCTATAATTTTAATTTGGTTGCTATTATTAGATTACCCATGTTATTATGGGCATATTGCAAAAAAAAAATATTAAAAAATTGATTCAATTGAATATGTTCAAATCTTAATGTTCAAATTTCTCTAGACAACTTATTTGTGAGTGACTTCTTTGTTGTTCCAATGCAACTTTCAATATTCGTTTATTATGTGCTATTTTTTTTTTTGTTGATGTTAAGAGTGTTTTACTTCTTAGCTTTCTAAAAAAAATATTGCACATAAATAAATAAAATTTTTACAAAAAGAAACAATATTTTTATATGAGAAATTTGGAGAAAAAAAGTAGGTAAGTTAGTCTAGTTAAAATGATTCTATCAGTGTAAATATCTTATCTTTGAAGTAAATTTCAATTCTTAAAATATGTTTCTTTTGTAAAATGTTACTAAGGAAATATCTGAGACCTAAATTAAATAATTATGAGAAAATTTAAAATAATAAAGATAAGAAAAATAGAAACTAAAAACTTATATCTTATTATCATCGCTTATATATTTCAGTGTAATATTAATGAAAGAGATCTACAGAGAAATTAGTAATTTTAATTTTAGGTATTATACCTAGTGACAACATCCCCCCTCTTTTAAAATGAAAATCTAAGGAAACAAAAAATTATAGTGAAATCACCAAAACATCATTAATAACTTTTACTATAAAGGATAATTTGCATAAGGTTACATAACATTTCAATTTTTCCTTACTTTGTGAAGTTATTCATAACAAATGGTTAACAAGAATAATCCTAGTTGCATAGATGATCCCTCAATAACATCATGTCCAAACATAAGTTTGCTCGCCAAACTTCCAACTTCTCATACCAATCATACTAATATAAGCAAAATAGTAGAATAACTAGCTAAGTTCTTCTCTCATAAGATGTTTTCATGGCCCAATACCTAGGCATCATTGATCTCATCCATCCTATATATGTGTGTATGTTATGAAAAGACAACCATGATCTCATGCAATAACTTGATGCTTGGCTTAGTATAAGCTATATAATCTTAGTTACTTCTCAACAAATGATATTACAAACCTAAATCAACAATAATATTTAAATTAACATCTAACTACTTTACATCAATTAAAAAAGATAATACATAAATTACAAATAATTAACTCACTATTAAAAAACATAAATAAAAAACAAACAAGCTAATTCATTGAAATAAAGAAACAAGAGTGAATGACATTAAATTAGTATGCTTGCTAAAAAATTACAAATACATTAATTTAACAAAAAAAAACAAAAAACTAAAAAAGTATTAGTTGATCAAAATTAATTTAAATTCTATATTATATTCATCATAAAGTTTAATATCGAGTGCTTAACAAGTTACTCCTCAAATAACTAAAGAGTTTAATCGTAAACATAAAGAAATGAATTTGAACATTTTCAAGCCTTCTTCATCTAAACGTACAAGATATTAAAAACATTCAAATATTTTCAGTCATTAATTTGAACCAATTTGATCGAGTACTAATCGAGTTCATTGACCCCACTGATTCATTTACCGCCCTAATGATGAAAAATGAAAGTCATAAATTGAAAGAATATCAGAAGTTCGAGCTCGCTCTTATGACGTAGCAAAAATGTGAAAATGAAACAGAGAGAAGATATATATTACTAAACTTTTTTTTTTATTTACCTACCTCACACACATACAAAGGCAGATTTACATAAATACCACTTAATTATTATGTATTTGCATGCGCTTCAATTTTAACGTACGTCGCCATACCTATGCTTAAAATGTTGTATCTAACTTCTTAAAAGTTAAAATTGTGATATTTTTTATGTGAAGCTATAAATATAAAATTTAAAATTTAGGGTTAGATATGTAAATATGTAGGAATTCGGTGGTAGGTATGTAAATGACCCAATATATAACAAAATAGGTAGTACATGAAATAGGGTATAATAGAAACATTCGGCTGCAAGCAAGCTGAAGTTACTTATAATATTTAATCCAAACTATTCACTTCAAAAACATTGGCTTATAGAACACACTATATATACACTATATATATATATATATAATGCATCATTCTTATAGATAAAATATGCATGCATTTGCATAAACATTGTTGATGATGATAGGTGGCAAAATTATTCAGTATCAAAGTTAGTGTAGGTATTAGCATTGATATTAACTATGTCCATCACTTTTAAGGAAATGTGTACATCAACACTATTGAAAATCATAGAAGAAAAAATTGGCAAATGTCAGCATATATGTGATGGTGTGTATCAACTTTTTAAATGGTAGCATGCATTGACATTGTTGGTGATTGCATCTAAGATAGTTGGAAGGCATTATTATACTTGGGTGGCAATAATCTAGCAATAATGATTGAGAGAACTTAGGTAAAAGTGATCCAAATATCATTAGTAGGGTGATAATTACAATAGTTCATAGTTAAGCAATAATGCTTATGTGACTTGAATTAGACGTTGGTGGTTTGGAGTCACGCTCGAGTGAAGGTTATCTTACAGCTTAGGTCTAGTAATGATGATCAAGATGTAGAAGTCAAATACTGGTGATTAGGCAATAATGATCTACTAGAGGATGGTCAAGTGATGGCAGTCTGACTATAAAAATTAGGCAATTGCAATCCAATGATGGGGGTTGAGTGAAAACAATCCGACAACGGATTTCATGTAGATCCTTAAGATTTTTTAGAACTCTTATCTCTTCCTAAATTCAATTCTAAGTATTTCTCATATAAAAAACGGATGTCTATTTACTAAATTATATAGTGCTAAATTGCATTTGTTGCTTTCACCATTGCTCCCATGTGAGTTTACCGCATAGTTAAAAAATTTGAGTTGATTTGGTTACTGGGCAAGATGAACTTGCATCGTGTATTGTGAGGTCTGATCTTTTGAAGGATTTTTTGTTTATGATGATTTTTAGTGTAAATGATCCAACTCTGACAAACCCAGATGAAGGTCTGACTAGGCCGCTAACAATTGCAGATCGGATGTTAGGTGAGGGCTTTTGGCTTTCAAGTAAGGATGGTAGAGTCGATCGCCCCGACAATCCTACACTTCTCTCGAAGGCATGTGAGGAAGCTGCCAAGGGGGACTTGACGTCCCATGCATTGTTGGTTTACTGTCTGGACAAGGTTGAAAGTTCTTTAGATTGTCTATAGGGATCCAACGTAGTTAGAAGATGCATGGCAGCTCTCTTGCGGATAACGTGGAGTATATGGTAATGACTAATTATTGGAAGCTATTGGACGTTCAGAAGTGGTCTCTATTTTTTCTGGTGCAAGCCGAGTCATATTGCTTGAATCAGTTTATGTCCATAAATTTTGTATATGAGGCTGCTTCAGCTTTGGCATGTCTCGACCAAAGTAGTGTCGGATCTTCTTGTGAAATACTTTGCCCATTGGACTAATCGCCAACCATCTTGTTGTTATATGAATGCCATTTTTTGAATAAAAATATTTTACTGCCTAATTTTTTATGTTGTTATGATTCTATTGATAACCTATTACAGAAATGGCCAAGTAATTTTATTTTACCTCTGCGCTTTGACTATTTTTAATTTCACTCTATATGTAAAGTGGTTTGAGTCATGAGGGCACACCTCTTCTACCTTTTCTAGTCTCTTACCCCCTTGAGCTTCATACATTTTACTTTCAATGATTGTCTTATGGTGCCTCGATACTCCCCAAAAGATTTTGGATCGATGGCCTCAGAGGACTAGTCACAAATGATCCAGGGGGAGGCTAACTCATTATAAGAGATTCATGGCTTTATCCTTCCATCAAGCTTCAGGCCATTGTTGAAGAAAATTGGGCAACCTTGTGGTACAACGTTAGTATTTTTACTCTATAGGGACCAGTTCTAGTTTGCCCTTTGCTTGCTGCTTTGGACCAGTCAGCACTCCATCTTTGCTAATTATGGAGTCATCCTAATGCAATTGAAACCTAATTGTGGCTTTCATGACCTTCATAATATTTTATTAGCGGTGAGGAATTCAATGATCTATTAACTTGTGTAGCAACTATTATCATCCAGGGTTGGATAAGACAGGTTTTTTTAGTTTTATTTGGTTGGTAAATTCCAACTTTTAAAGTTAGAGAATAAGTGAAGGACAGGAAGCAATGATTTTTCTTGACTTCCTTCCTAAGAGGGTGGTTCATTCAAATATTCACATGGAGAGGCCCCTCCAAAAGTGAAGGCGAAAGCATCAGTGAGGGTACTAGATTGAGGGGACTAAACTATTGGTTCAACATTACTTGGAGTCGGCACTTGTTGATAAGGTACCACGGCTAAATGTTTTTGAGTCAATGTTTGAGGCTGATTAGGAAGCCTCATACGTCAGTTAGGCTGGAGAGAAGTAGCTCTGGCCACTCAGATAGCAAAGAACAAGCCTCACCCGGCTGTTGTCAGAGCGACAAAACGATTGACGCCTACGGGTGGTGTTTAAGCTATAAGGCCTGAATGTTTGGTGGGTGCGGATCTTATTTACTTAGTCTAGCATTCCAATGTAGTTTTATTTCCAAAAATGAGAATATATGAATTAAGATTAATCAAGAGATCAATATAGTTGGAGACGGTTAAGAGTTCTCTATCGATTGTAGGTCCTCGAGGCATATACCTGTCAGATGCTGAGAGAGTACAAAGTCGAGAAGAGCTGAGCCACCATGAGGGGGGGTACTTTGATCAAAGTATAGGTGATAGAGCTCTCTAGTCCCACTTCGAGATTCCTAACAATATATTTTGGGGACAAGGTCAGCCATACCATTCTTGTTGACTCC